GCTGTGTTCATCCAGCTCTACACCTTGTTATCTCAGATTCTCCAGCATCGGCAGTTCCTACTATCTCTGTACAGCACTGATTTTCCTTTGTGGCGTGTATACCAGTGTTTAATATTGTCTGCTGATGTAATTGAGAAATCTCCTGGTTTTCTGCAGGTGTAGCAAAGGTTGGAGACTATTCGCTTTCACCTTACTATGATCGTAAAGATGAGCCACTTACTGCTGTTGACTTTGTGGATCAGCTGTCCGGAGAGCAAAAATCCTTGAAGGAGAAGGAGAAGGGTTCTTGGGTTTCTCTTTCCAGTGATGAGAAGTTGAAGTGTGAGTCACTAAAGTGATGTATAAACTACATGTTGACTTTGAACCTCTGATTTGGTGGGAGCAGTTGAGTAGGGAGAATGTGGAGTGAGTAATTATGGAGCAGACTGTGGGGCAAGAGAAGATGGAGACTGATTTTGCTCCATTCACCTACGATTTGATTGCAAGGATTGCTAGGTAGCTTTGTTGAGTACAGAACATGATTATACTCAAGAAAGAGATCTGTTTACTTGAATTATTAATATCGAGAATCACGGTCTGAAAGCTCATGTTCGTACATCTTTGGCCTTACTCACTTCCAACTCAAACATTTTAAAGTTATCTAATGTTTTTGCCACACTTGAAGGTGCTGAGAAATTTTTGTGGGCAAAAACCAGTCTTTGGTGTCAAACTCCTGATGTCCATTTGGTGAAGAAGTAGATAGAAGTCAATCATAAACTCTGTTTAAATTTATTCAGAGTGAAATATTATGACTGTATAGGTCCTAACTCTATTCCCGAACTTCAGTGTCGGTAAATGTTTCACTAAAATAAGATGAAGAACTGTGGATGCTGGTGATCTGAAACAAAAGCAGAAATTGCTGGAGAAACTTAGCAAGTCTGGCAGTATCTGTGGCGAGACAACATAGTTAAAATTTTGAGTCTAGTGACCCTTTGTCAGAAGTCATTCTGTGAACTCTGCCTCCAGATGCTGCCAGACCTGTTGAGTTTTTACGGCAATTTCCGCTTTTGTGTCAGTAAGTGTTTCTTTATTTTAAAAAAAAAATCAGCCTGTTTGGACATGTTATGACACAACTGTATTTATTACTGCCCTGAAATTTTCATACCCTGATTGGGAATGAAACCTGGGCTGCAGCCGTGAGAGAGCTAAATCTTAGCCACAAAACTTAATTGACTGGCTTTGGACACGTTTTGACATATTTCTAGGGCAAGTGGGAACCTGGACCTTCTGGTCCACTGTGCCACATCTCCTGACTACTTGATATATATTTAACATGTTTGGACATATGTTGGTACATCTCTGGGGCCAGGTGGGGCTTGAATTTGGAACTTATGGCCCAGAGGCAGGGACATTATCATTGTGCCATATGACCCCTTCCACTAGGCACACTTAATTAATCATCAGAGCCAATTTCCTATGGCCATATATACTGAACCTTAATTCATTCAGTTAACTCCGGCATCTCAACCAAGTGCTTTTTGTGAGTCTAGATGATTGATGGGCTATTTGACTGGGGGCCATTACAGCCGAGTTCAATCTATCATCACTTGGCATCATAGTACTGTTTTTGGATAGATTCATTGGATGGTATTAAGAAGGAATTCTTGGAGTAAGTTCATAAAATTTCAGAGTTGAAAGACAGCAGTCAGCCCATCATTGATGTGCTGGTGTTTTTCAAGAACAATCCACTCTCTTCAAAGTGTTTCCTTTTCCGATATTGTGGATTTTACCTATCCTGCACCTGCTAGCTAGGCTTGGAATTAAGTTTGGGGCTGTCTGATCGAGATGCCTAAAAATTGCTCAAGCAAAATGGATTATAAACTATATTTGGATAACTGCAGTTGTAAGATGATGTTCAATACTAAGTGGAGAATGTCAAAACTGTTTATTTAAACACATAATGGAACAATGGCCCACAACCAATGGAATTTTTGATAATCTTGCCAATGTTTTACAGTTGATCGTCCACTCAGTTCATCCCTGCAACAAAATTCAGATAAGATGTAGTTTAAACAAAGTTGCTGTTTTAACTGTCCTCAGTAATTGCAAAGTATTTATTTTTATTCACTTGTGGAACATGGACACTGGCTGTTTAGCCCATCTCTAGTTGCCCTTGAGAAGGTAGTGGTGAGCTGCTGCCTTGAACTGCTGCAGTCCATATGCTGTAGGTTGATCCACAATGCCCTTCGAATGGCAATTCCAGGAAACCATTAATGTGGAACAAACAGACATGAGGTTAATTACACAAGAAATAGAACCTTGCATAGGCCATTCAGCCTTTTGAGAATGTTCACCCGTTAAATATATCACAATTAGTCTGTTTCATCTCTACCTTCCTGCCCTATTCCCCTGTTCCTTATTGCCAATAGTTTCCAAATAGCCATTGATCTCAGTCATTGAATATACCCAGCAACCAAGTATGCACTGTTCTCTGGGGTGGAAAAGATTCAAACCCTTAGAAGAAATTTCCTTTCATCTGTATAGGAAATGGCTGTCTCCTTACTGTGAGACTGTTCTAAGCTTCCCAGCCAGGTGAATAATCAAGCATTAAGCATCTTAAAAATCTTTTTCAAAAAGATCACTCCTCATTATTGTTGATATTATGCTAACTATCTTGAACTCTTATTTGCTTCCTACTTTTCTACCCCTTTTCATCAGTCAGATGTCTCTGAAAACTTTACTAGTGTTTAAACCTAATTTGATGTTTAATTTTCTGCTCTCTTAACTGGAATATGAACTTAAAAAAAGAGAAAATTACTTGGTTACATTTCATTTTATTCTAAAACATTTGTATGGCAAATGAGTTTTAAAATCTATTGCAATTAATTTTTTGCCTCTTTCTTAAGTTCTTTCTACCTTGTAATTCTAAGAATTAGGAATATAGAAACAAAAGTAGGACATTCAGCCCTTCAAGCCTGTTATGTCATTTAGTGAGATCATTGCTGATATATAGCTTAACTCCATATAGCTACCTTTGGCTCATATTCCTTAAGGCCTTTACTTAACAAAAAATGTATCTCCGATTTTAAGGTAACAATTGATCTAGCCTCCACTGCCATTTGTAGTATTCCAAACATCTATCACCCTTTGTTTGTAGAAGTGCTTTCTAATATTGCTCCTGAATGATCTAGCTCTAATTGTCGGGCTGTTCCCCCAGTTCTAGAATCCTCAGCTAGTAGAAATAGTTTATTGGGCAATGGTTATGAACTCCTGGGGCTTTTGGTGATATTTCATTGATTCTTTAAATTGAAGAGCCCTTACAGTGAAATAAAGTGCAAAATTCGTCTCCATCTCTGCTCAAAAGTGCAGTATCTTACAAGTGCATGGCACACAAACCAAATAATTTCTAACAAGCAGCTGGAAGTGAATGAAGTACAGTCTTCAAACTTACTGATTTTGTGACTGTACTTAATTGCTTTCTGGTTTTAAGTCTAGAATAGTGTAAATCTGAAGGTGGTTATTTGACCCATTGTGCCAGTGCTAGCTCCCTGAAAGTGTTTTTTGGGTAGCCCTATTCCCCTTGTCCTATTTCTACAACCATACAAAATGTTCCCTTTCATTATTTATTCTATTCCCTTCTGAAAGTTACTGAATTTCCAGGTCATGACTTGCTGCATTAAAAAAAACTTCTCTTTGGGCTCTTGTTCTTCTGGCAAATAAGGTGTCCAATGGGTTCTGAACTGACTGCCATTGGAAGCAGTTTCTCATTATTTTATCAAGCTTTTTCTGATTTTGGTCACTTCTTTTAAAGCTCTAATCAAATTCTTATTCAGATAGAACAGGTCAAGCAGCATCATAGGAGCAGTAAGGCTGACGTTTTGGGCCTAGACCCTTCATCAGAAATGGGGGAGGG